CGGAAGCATCTCGAAAGTGGAGGGGCATTGACCGAAAGGGGCACTTTTGTATATGACCAGAATCAAACGATTTTATGACGTTCACGAGCCGAACGAAAATTTTTGAAAATATGGAGTCTCTCTAACGTCGGAAATGGCCTTTACAGAGTCTTTACTACTGCGAAAAGGGCATTTTCTTTCCAGAAAAAGAGGGCGTTTATTCAAGAAATACTTTTTCCGTTCTTTAAATGGGGCATTTTAGCCCAGAAAAAAGGGCACTTTTTCACTTTTAAGAAAAGTGGGGGGGCACATGCCCCCATTGCCCCCCCGTTCCGCGGCCCCTGCATAAACTTGGTTCGCCGGCAAAGTTTCACGAACGAATATCCAGATGTACGATGCCCTTCACGTATTCGCACGTGAATTAGGGCATCGTACATCTGGATATTCTTTCGTGAAACTTTGGCGAACCAAGTTTATGTTGTTGCTACGGAGGAACTCTGATACCATAAAAGCTCTCTGCTGCGGGGTAAATCGTGGCATCGCCATTTCAAAGTGTACGGGGGTATTATACGAGAAAATGCGTTTCAGCACAAACAACTCGAAAGCACAAATTCCATGGAAATTCCATGGAACTCTCATGGGAGTAAAAATGAATTCATAATGATGCAAGAACAGCACCAACAGAGAAAAATGTAACGTTTTCATAGGCTTTTCGGAGGATTTGTACTCGGTAAAATCCTGCCGAAATTTTATCATAACTGCAACAAATAGCGAACTTTTCATACATGAACTCAAATAAAGAATACCGTTTGTTATTTCCGTGCGCAACCCACTTTTAGGGGAGCAAAAGTTGACCACCCCCCTGGATAGCAAAATTTACTATTTTCAAATTTTTTATATTTTCCATAATTTAAGAACTCAAGCAATCCATATATAGCAAAAATTACATTTCATGAACAGAATTGTGGAATTGAGAGCAATTTCAAAATTGTCTTACTTTTTTTGATACACCCTGTAGATTTCTATTGTAAAACTGACATTTTTCGCAGAAATTTCGCCTTATACTCCCTAAGTATGCGAAGAAATCAAGTCAAATCTGGTATTTCAAGAACAAGCACACATCATAGGCAGCATAACGCGATAGTGTGCAGTGTATTTGTAGGCCTAATTGACATTTTATGCAGATTATGCTTGGGCTGGCAAATTTGTTTTAAATAATAGATCAAATGGCCAGGGTGCATTCCATGTAAACTACGCCGGAGATACGCCAACATATACGATAGTTCACACCAATACATTGGAGATTTTAACTTTGGGGACCAAATTTCATGTTAAAATGGCTAATCTGGCATATTTTATACACTGTTAACATCATATTCTTGAAGTTATACTCAATGAATATACATACTGTATGACAACCAATTCAGGCACAAACTTACTGTAGTTACACTTATCACTTCTTTTTGAGTGATCTCACGCAATACACCAACAATGTTGTAACCTCACGCCGGATATATCTGGCGTGGAGTGAATGGAATGAACTCTGGACAATGTATTTTAGTTTGGAGGTTTAATGCAGTGTGGCTAAGTTGTAGAATGAAACCAAATAAACAGAAAGCCATGTCATTGATATTATTTGATGTAGTGTACTGTATATTTGTTTCACTGAATTGGAAATGAAATGTGTACAATGTACATAGTGTGGACAAAGTAGTTGGTTTGAAAATAGTCACTATAATTTTTGTATATTGTATTTCAGTTGTACTGAAGACTGTACAAATTCAACACAAGATTGTAAATGCTATGAAGCTTTGCCCATCAGTCATCAAGAGTACGACAGTTAATATGCACCTGTAGTCGTTGTAGTAGTTTATATATATTACATTAAAGATTTTTATCAACTCGTGTTGTTGTCAATACCATCTGCATTTTTATTCTGTATTTCTACCATTTAAATAATGGAGAAACATTGTAGATTCAGAGTGTTGTGGATTTGTAGCTGTTCAAAATGAAGAAAATAAATCCTTTTAATACACATGTCTCAAATCCCTGATTGGCCCAGGAGCCTTGTTTTCGTGAATCTTTAGTAGCTAACATATATAGCCTTTTGTCTTGTTTCATGAGATGGAATACTTCCAGCCCAAGGAAGCATTTGTGATAAAATTATCACATGGCCAGAAATTCAGGACATGCGCCCGCAATATATCTCAGCGGTTTTTCCTATGAAAAGTTATTCATACCCAACAAACGCTAGTTTTAAATAAAAAAATACATTTTACTTAGTTTTTTGTTTAACTAAAGCAGAAAAATACATATATTAGGTATTGACGGCCTTTTACATACCTTTCATTTATTATGATGGGATATAAAGTGATGCATGGTAAACGACTCAAATATTTTGTGTATACATCGCTATCCCTCCATGTAGCCCACACTGGAAGAAAGCCTGGTTCCTAAGCTTCTTGTTGATATCAAACATGGACGACAATTCATGAAACATCGTTCTTCTTGCAATGTTTACGACCTATCGACAGGGTATTTATGGGTAAAATATCAACATTTTGTCCCGTAAATTGGAACAAGTTAAAAACATCGTATCACTATGAAATTATGCAGACAAGCAGGGGACAATATATATTTTACGACGCGAAGTCTGCAAATTTCATGAAGGGTTCGAGGGATACATGCGGCCAGAGCAAAATGTACGTTTTGAACGATTTTCTCAAGTTTTACTATACTTTATTATACGCCGATGTACTATGAAGTGAACTCGAATAATGGAACAACTTATATGTAAGATTCCGATGCGAAACTTTTCTGTTTTACGGTCCAGATATAGTTTATATATAACTAAGGTAGCAATTAAATTTTGCAGCTTTAATTTGACCAGTATTAGTATTCACAAGTTTATTGCTCAAAGACAAAGCATCTCTGAATACAAGATCTTTGAATACAACTAAGCTGCCAACTATTACTATATAGGAGCATCGACTACAAAAACAGTCCACAAGGAAATCCTCTGCCATGAGTGCTGCAATGTTCTTGGCTGTTGCATTCTGTCTTCCCAACTCCTGCAATTAAAATATCAGGGTAATCTAATGTGCCTTCATTATTCACAGAACTTGATGACCACATGGGGTCATCCATTTAGTTCAAATGTCTCAAATGCAAGGGAGTCAAACTTTTTTCAGTTATCGTCGGCCAGTGACTGCCACACACAGATTAATAAAAGTTTCATATAGCTCAAACATAAAATTATCCCATCACTTTAGTACTAAACAAACACTGCATGAACCACGATTTAAGTTTTGACAGCCGTGACAAAGGTCATATTAATCGGCAAAACTTACCTGTTTTAATTAATACAGCTGCAGTAAATATCGCCGTTGCATACCGCCTAACTTGTTCAGTTGATCAAGCTGCTTTGTACTTTGAATCAGTATTCCTAACTAAATGATCCAACACATGAATATGATCTAATCCTTGTCATTTTGACCTCCATTGACGAGTCTGGGGTTCACATCTTCAGTCATCGCACAGTCGCACTCATTATTACGACGTAGAACTTCGATTTCCTCTGCGATTCAGGGTTAAAAACTTCAAATTTACTTCTTGAAGCATTGGTGTTATATATTCCTTTCCTGAAACAAGGTTTGTTTCAGTCCAAGAGAAGAGAATAAGCGTTATAAAACGAAAACTATACATTCTGTAATAGAAATCTAAAGTATTCACTCGTACCAGCGCGCAGTTTCTATCAATGGCTACGCCCACGAAACTAACGTCATATATTGACGTCTATATTCTGTGTTCAAATGAGGCCAAAAGCTACTGTTGAAAATAAAGCCTAACTTAGGCGGCAAATTTTAATTAATATAAAAACTATAAAAATATAGAAAGGTGTCTTAGCTTTCGTCGTCTACGACATCATCAGAGACAAGGTCATATATTGACGTCTGTACATCGAAGTCTATATTGACGTCCGTATACATATTAACGTCATATACTGACGTATATATATTGTCGTCAATATATATATATATATATATATATATATATATATATATATATATATATATATATATATATATATATATTTATATATATAGTACAATCTGCAGACATGCATGTTTCGGCGTTCAACGCCTCATCAGTGCAGCTTGGTACACGTCTAGATACATGAGACACTCGTATTTATACCCCATGAACTTGCTCTCACCAAGGCATGTGGTACAACACGGTGACTCAACGCATCCAGACATGCGCAGAGCGTAATGGAGCCAGAGTGCTCAAACGACCACAAGGGAAGTGAGCTTTGCATTATCGCTAATAAACATCCATTAACAACTCCACAGAGTGCTCAACAATATATATATATATATATATATATATAAAATAATTTTGTGTTTTTAATTTAAATCAAGGATCACTCAAGAGGTTTTTGATAATATTTTTATTTTAGCTATTTAATATGAACAGAGGTGAAAGTTTCAGAAAAGCAATTATATATATATATATATATATATATATATATATATATATATATATATATATATATATATATATATATATATATATATATATATATATATATATATATATATATATATATATATATATATATATATAAATATATATATATAGGAAAACTTTGCCCGTTGACGGTTCGCTATAAACGTAATGAAATAACTTAATTTAAAACTACTTTTATGTATATTATTAATACGTAATAGGATGGTTTCTCGTGAAAATTAGATAAAACAAGCACTCGTGAGTTTTTCACAGATCTCAAATAGAACTCGACGTCCTTCCGACTCGTGCTATTTTGATGGTCATTGAAAAACTCATTCGTACATGTTTTATTCAAATTGCACTCGAAACCATCCTATTACCTATACTTATACATATTAACGTCATATATTGACGTCATGTCTTTAACGTTATCGAAAGTATCGGAAGTATTGATAAACGCGGTCAATAATGTAGCAGCCCAGTAGGCATCTTTGTTTGTAGACTAGTCCTATATGTCTGGTGTCATCACGAAAACGGTTCCATTAATTGTTATTTTTACCATGTTTCGCACTAAGTTGATAACAAACACATCAACATATTTAAAGAAATATTTCCTACAGGCAAGGGCTACGGAAAAATTGCGACCAGCAATTGATGACGTGGATTGCTTTCTTGAATGTGACTCTACAGCGCTGTCTGTAGGCGAGTTAGATAGTAAGCCTATTGGAACATGTGCTGTATTCAAATATCAGGACGGTTATCGGCACGGTGGAGCGTATTTCATTGAACATAATTATCGAAAGTATGGATACGGAGCACAGTTAATTATTGAAACCATTAGAAAATCAGAACCAATTACAAACTTATCTGCTTATGCACCTCTTCGTATGGTTGAGACGTACAAGAAGTTTTATGGCTTACAGATCTTGCATGTTTGCGAGATTCATGATATTAATTCAATCACTGCTTTGAAGAATCTGCAAGGGATTTCCATGGATGCGTCATATCATGTTAAGCAAGTTTCAGATGTAGATTTTGAAACCTTGTGTAACTACGATAAGTTCACATTTGGTTATAATCGTCAGCCATTCTTATATAAATGGCTGTATTCACCAGCGAGTCACTCGTGTGTTGCTTTAAATAATCAAGGGTTTATTGTTGGTTATGTTGTTGCGCGGGAATTGGTAGTTCCTAACGAAGGCTATAAGGTTGGACCACTGTTTTGTGAAAATATTAACATAGCACAAGTTCTTCTCCAGTCAGTATTTAAACAAATCAACGAACAAGGCACGTCAACATCCAATTCCGTTCATATTTCTTGTCCGGTTGATCGAGATCTCCAAGTGCGCCAACTTTTGAAAATCTTAGACAGCAGTCACGTTCAAACCATTCCATTTATGGCAAACAATGATCATCTGAAGGGACGTATTGATAAGTGGTTTGCAATTACTTCATTTGAAACTGGTTGAAAATTGAGTAGAAACATGGAATGTACAGTACAGTATAGTAGAATAGAATCAGTTTATACGTATAGATAACTTAATACTAACTTTGAAATTAAGCTCGGTTTCTTATGTTCGTCACAGCATCAATAGTAATACAATGCACACTTAAAAGTTAAACATTTCACTATGTATAATGATCTAAAGTGAAATTCCATTTATATACATTTGCATTGCAATTTATTTTGTTTAATAAATTCACTTTTCATATTTAAAGAAATGATGGAAATATAAGTTTGTTTAAAGAGTGAGTATAATATGCCAGTGACCTTTCGGCGCCGCTTGGTTCCAAGAAAATGGCCGACTTTTGAGATATTTATAAGTGATTTATAAGTGGCCCATATTTATCGGAATGCTATTGAAAACCAACTCTATTTCTTCTTTTATACGAAGTAAGTCATTATATCTTGTGAAGTATATTCATGAGATATAGCTGAATGTAAACATAAAATGTAAACACAAGCATGCAAAGGATCACTGGCATGATACTCACTCTTTAAGTGAACAATTTATTCTACTTATAGTTCGCCAGGTCACGAAAACTCTTTATGCTGTGTGCTTGTTCGTGAAATACCAGATTTGACTTGATTAGCTAATTTATATATATTATAAATTTAAGTTAATGGGCAATGCTGTCCACACATTTAGTCTAATTTATATGACAATCGATTTGAATATTTTGCGTGCGGTACAAAGTTCACAGACCCACAGCTGTCATTTGTATCAAAGGTCATCTTTGTATTGGCAAAGCGTACACGTGCACATCTCATGACCAATTATCTTTCAGCCAATCGAAATATATCTTTGATGGCATCAAAACATGTAACCAATCATAATTCGGTTAAGCCAGTAAAATAGACCAAATACACCTGAAAGAGATCACTTGTTTCAGGGCAGCCCTAGGGACCATTACCCCTAGGGTTATCAGAGCGGGCCTTATATATACCCCGCAGGATGAAATATAAGGCCATAAAGAGTCTATTGGGTTAAATATACATATAATGTAACACTTATTTTAACAGGAGTACTTCACCCCCATAACTCATTCTCCCACACAAAAGCTGTCTGTGTCTACTCTTAATTCTTAGCTCAGTTAGCTGGCAGGAGAGCAATTGTTCCATTAATCTTCGCATACTTGGCGAATATAAGGCGAAAACTCCAAAAAATGTTAGTTTTACAATAAAAATATATAGTATTCACTTCTCAAATGGGGCCTTTCAACATGGCAGCCTGTCTCAAAACATGACATACTTCCGGCTTCAATTTTTATTGGCGCTTTCTTTTACGATGTCCTATCCAGTCTTTAAAGGACAATGGCAACGAAAATTTTTATTAGCTATTTCAATTCTACTTGACGACTTATAACTATGAAAATATTATCATTTCCTTCTCGAACATTTAAATTTTTAGTCTATGAGTAAAATGCATGCAAACTTTGTGTTTCGCCGCCATCTTGGAAAAAAATTTTGAAAAATTATCTCGAAGGTCAGTGAACCTTGTGACGTCATTAGATGGGTAGCACCAAAACTACAAGAGAGAATTCTATATTTGCGTGTGTATTAGCTAAAAATATGTCGTTTTGAGCGTTATACTGGCCAACACTCTTCGCAATCAAACAAGAGAAGTCTATACTATCAGATAAAAACATATCGAGCGACTGGGAAAGCAAGGAATGGCGCAATTTGCAATGCAGGTAATTAATCATAAAATATTGCATTAGTATTTGCCTTGTTAGGCTACACTCGAATTTCTGCGTTTATTTAACACGGATTAGGATATATACTATGAGAAATAGTGTTACAAACAAGGAACGTACTTGGTAAAACTTTTCTGCCTTTCGTTTTGGCTCAAAGTGCACTATACGCGTGGTAATACTCGGTATTGTTTTATAGTCATGAAATTGTGTTTACCCAGCTAATGACGTCAGATAATGTTTGCTGTGGCATAAATGTTTATTTTCAAAATGGCGGACAACTGTTGAACTTTTTATTACATTTTCTCAACAACTAAACGCGACAAACCGGTCAAAATATAAAATTAAGTATTCCGTAAGTATACCTAATAGATATAAGCAATAAAAATTTTGGTTGCCAATGTCCTTTAATATTAAGGTGGTTCTCCACTAGGCGGAGCGTAATTTCTCTTTGTCTTTTCTAATTAGATCCACCCGAGAAATCACAAGACAAAGAGAAATTCCGCTCCGCGCGGAATGTTCCGCCTAGTGGAAACGGCCTTATTTAGAACATATCAATGGCTACCCCCACGAAACTAATGTCATATATTCACGTATATATTGTGTGTTCAAATGAGGCCAAAAGCTACTGTGGAAAATACAGCCTAACTTAGGCGGCAAATTTTAATTAATATAAAAACTATAAAAATATAAAAAGGTGCTTTGGCTTTCGTCGTCTACCACATCATCAGAGACAAGGTCATATATTGACGTCTGTATATTGCATGCCGTCTATATTGACGTCCGTATACATATTAACGTCATATTTGACATCCGTATATTGACGTCTATATACACTGTCGTTTATTTATAGGTCTCAGTATTATGTCGACTATATATGTCGTCTAATAGTATATATATTGACGTTTGTATATTGACGTCTTTATATTGTCGTATATATATAGGTCTACATGTCGTCTATATATTATGTCGTCTATGTAACTATATTGACGTCTGTATATTGACGTCTTTATATTGTCTTCATATATATATATATATATATATATATATATATATATATATATATATATATATATATATATATATATATATATATATATATATATATATATAATATATATATATATATATATATATATATATATATATATATATATATATATATATATATATATATATATATTTAACGTCATATATTTAACGTCGTATATTGAAAGTATTTTTCTCATAATCATGAAAAGGAACAGAAAGATTGATAAACGTGGTCAATAATGTGGCAGCCCAGTAGGCATCCGCTTGGTCCAAGAAAATGGCTGACTTTTGAGATATTTATAAGTGATTTATAAGTGGCCCATATTTATCGAAATGCTATTGAAAACCAACTCTATTTTTTCTTTTAAACGAAGTAAGTTCTTATATCTTGTGAAATGCTACGTTTTTTATTGCAAAATCTTAAAACTGAAAGTATATTCATGAGATATAGCCGAATGTAAACATAAAATGTAAACACAAGCGTGCAAATTAAGGATCACTGGCATCATACTCACTCTTTAAGTGAACAATTTATTCTACTAGTTCGCCAGATCGCGAAAACTGTATGGACTTTTTCCAAAAAAAATTAATTACAACCCAATTTGAATTAGTAAACCAATGATGTTATAAAAGTTGCTAAACCGCCCTAAACTGTATTATATATATTATAGCCAAACCAGGATAGAGCATGCAGTTCGAGATGTCTCTCGTACATTGAGCTCGTTGTATTGTCGTATAATGCCCATATGGCTTTAATCATTTGTAGATGGAAATTTCGAGTGTGAATTTAATACATTTATTAGAATTAACCAGAAGCAGTTGCGAAAAATGCAACTTTGGGCAGGAATCGAACCTTCGGCCCTACGATTCTAGTGCATTCGTCTAACCAACTGAGCTACAAAGTCCAGTTGTCTAGCTCTAAAACAGCACTTCGTATATATATATATATATATATATATATATATATATATATATATATATATATATATATATATATATATATATATATATATATATATATATATATGAAAAGGACCAAGAAAAGTGCTGGAAAATTTTTGTTTGTCTAGTGGCACAATAGTGGGGGTGGGGAAATGGGGTAGGTGAAAAAACAAGGGTGGGTTGAGGCATCCCTCGTTACTTCGGCAGCCCTGATTGTGTTGGGTTGATAGATAGAAATATATGGGGATTATAACAACGATCATAACATTTCAAGCTATTACAATAGGCACTAGTTAATATTATCGGGCGAGGTGTTTGCATTAATGTATTTGTGGTTCGTTTATAAGCTCCTCGTTTAATCTTCATTTATATTGTTATGTGTAGCAGAAACATTCCTGTGATATATTTGTATTCAGCATATACCACTGAGCTGTATAATAACTTGAGGACCTGCTCCAATACTTCGTTCAGTCAACGAAGGGAAGCAAAAACATGGCGGATTTTGACGTTAGCTGACGCCATTTTCATGACAACTGTTCCGAAGTTCCCACGCAATTACCACTGACCAACCGCGATCCTGAGCTTCAGTCTTTGCCAACTCCTGAGCTTCAGTCTTTGCCAACTCTCAGTGGGAGAGTATACATCATGCCACTCTACATATGGGTTAATTGGGAAACCAGAGTGAGTCAGGACAAATGCCAAATTATGGTGTTCCAATGGTGAGATAATTCTGGAATAAACAAGAATATATTATATGCCGTAAAGTTGAGCACATAAATGATGATAGGAAAACAAAACAATGTGACCCAACTCCAAACCAGAGATACCAGAACCATTGGTGCAATTTTCAGACTTAATGGTATAACAATCAAAAGTGGCCAGGATACAAGGTAGAAGTTACCTTCCCACTTGCAAGGGAAGCAACATAGTTGCTAAGTAATTGCCAGATTGCCATCCAGTATCTGGTGTTCCAAATTGTTTAATTATAGTGTAAAGGTTATGATAGGAGTTATGTGCCACCTGAACTTCCATCACACCTACAACCCTGTGCCCCCCAACAATGTGTTGTGAATGGCCAATGTAATATCTTTTCATTATGCAGCAACATTTTCTTGGGTGGGGGGGGGTATATATATATATATTTTATCTGTACAGGTATCTTGGGGAATATTTGAGCGCTGCAAAAGCAGGTCTTGTAGTCATTGTCATTGATTAGCCTTGTATGCGAAATTGGTACATATTACACAAAACCAGCATGAATATATTTTAAACTACATAGCTGCATGACATACCGTTCGCTTTTGAGGGAACGTCTGTAGTTAATAGCACTTTCTAAAGTAATTTATAAATAACAAAAATTTGTAGTTTCTCAACCAAATTGTGAAATATACAGAATTACCGATTGCCAAATTACACCAAAAAACACCAGCAAAAAGCTATTTTCTCAACAAAAACGTGAATTTCATCGTTAAGCGGTTAAGCTTATGTTAAGCCTACCAATTTTATGTGAAAATAAGATAAAGCATAAATAAAATGAAAAAAATACCAGTTTATAGCTCGCTCATTCAAATATCCTCTTTTTTCATATTTTGCGAGCTTTCAATACTTGTATAACACGTACGACTTGCACATCTTTGAACCAATAACCAAATTTAAAAAAAATATCTCGAAAACATTTTAAAAATCGATTCAAATCATCGGAAAATGCTATAAAACCCGAGCAAAATTGCAAAAACCTAAAGCTTTTTCAGAAAACCAGGGGGGTGGAAATTGTAGCGGGCTCAGATCCGAGCCTGGTCAGTGGTAATTACCATAACTGCCATGTTTTTGGCTTCACTTTTTTTGCCGAGCAGGTCCTCCAGTAATCCCCAAGCCGACGGCGCGAAGCGTCGTGCGAGGGTATTAATTCCCCTCGGCTATTTGCACCCGGGGAAACGAAAGCATTAGCGAAGTCTAAAGTTCATCAATGATCGCGGGCGTGGCTCACCAACGATGGGTGGTCATCCTCACTGATCTCAAGAATATGGCGAACTGTCATGAATAGTGGACACTGATTGGTCCAATTTAAAGTTTGCATTATAACGACTGCATGACGACAGCGAAATAGCAAACATTTCTTGATTTGATGATTGATAAATTTCTTGCAAATATATTTCATTTTTGCTCGCATTTTTGAAAGATTTTGTAAATTTCAAAAGCTTTCTCAGAAAGAAAGGGCGAAAGAATCGGCTAGGGGAGGGGAACGGACGTTAACGAAGGTAAGTTTGTTTTAAATATTGATTTTACAATTCCTTTAAAACCCGACGGCCTTTGCGTATATGAAACAACTAAACAAGACAGCATATAATTTCAGTGTATCTTTAATATTGAATCCCTTTTTTATTATATTGAATTATTTAAATAAAAAAGAAAGCAAAGTTATATGCATACGAGAATTTGAAATATATATATATATATATATATATATATATATATATATATATATATATATATATATATATATATATATATATATATATATATTATATATATGGGAAATTGATAATTTTGCAATCAAAAGTGATATTTTCAGGCGATTTTTCATTTGTAAGAATATTCTTAAAAAAATATCGTGTTACCATGACAACTACGTTAGATACTTCATGTTCGGAAAATACAATGGTTTTGTCAGCAAGGCGAGGGTTTCTGCATGCATATATTTTCTAGTATAGTATAGCTCAGTGGCATATACCCAGGAGGTGGATAGTGCTTTTCACGCAATCTGATTGGTGGCATTGTGGGGGTGTCACACCCCGGCAAAGAAAACTCAGGAAAGGGGTCCAATTTCTCCAGATGGGAACCCAAATGCCGGAATTGCGGAACGTGTTACAAATTAGGAATATTATGAGAAATTGAGGTCAAAAAAATTAATTGTGAAAAACGTATTTTTACTGATTAACTCCATTTGTCCGATAACGGTTACAAAACAAATGTTTTTGGCCCTTCTGTTTTGCAGGAAAACTCAAACCTCCCCTCCCCCGCTCGTCAACAATTTCCGGAGAAAAAATTTTCGAGAGGACCGAAAACGTGAAGGGGGCCAAAGTTTTGTGTTAACTCCTCCCCCCCCCCCAAAAAAAAAAAATGAATCGGTCGGCACGTCCCTGGACGAGATACATTTTTTTACAAAACTGTAGTTCGGCCAAACACAAAGAAAGAAACAAAGTTTTATTTAACAGTGTGTGGACTGAGGTAATCTATGAAACTAGAAAATAAAATTGCTACAAGCTTGTGAATACAGTTTTACGGGAGCGGTAATACACTGACCTTTTCGTTATTTTTTGTCATTTTTGTCCTCCTATGGTATGCTAAAACAATTATTCACCTCAGTGTCGGTAAATAGTGAAAGGGTATTTTCTCGTTGAGGTGAATATCCTTGCACTATTCACCTCCAACTCCTCCACTTCGGGTGAATAATTAACAATTAGTCGCCGTAGGCGAAGTGATTAACAGGTGAATATTCACCGAAATGAAATCGAGGTGAATATCCATCGTAATCACTAAGCCTGAGGCGAATAATTGTTTTAGTATAAATTTTGAATGAATAAAACAAAATATCAAAATATGAGTTTAATTAAAATTCAGAAGTAAAAGTGTTTTCGGCCGGTTTTAGGGTTACTGTTTTAGTGTTGCAGTGTTTCTTGTACACGCACGCTTTCAAAATTGCTTCCTGTGTGACTTTATTGCTCTATTACAAAGTTGTTTTTCTCGATATCTTGCTTAGAATATAAACACAATAATGGGAAGACTTTTTCACCAGACTTAGAAATAAAAAATAGTTTCTGTTTAGCATTAATTTGTTCAGGAAATGGCCGATAAAATTGGTAAAGTGGAATGTAAAACTATTGCTCGAATGCCTCGACATAAAGTTTTAATACACTTTTCACTTTACACAAGTTTCGAAAACACAATGCAGCGGTAGGACACCATACAGCACAATGAAAGCATGACATATGATCAAAAGAAATAGTATCGTACAAATTGAGATATCTCTAAGTTACAAAACAAAATGGTTTTAAAAGAATAACACGGCAAGGTTTTTCCGACAGTCAAGATAGTTTTTGTTGAAGTGAATGTTTCGGAGTTTTAAATAAATTAAGTTTTACATTGTTCGTGAATATGTTTGACACAGTAAAATAATAAAGGAATCCTACCTTTCAAGTTAAATACTTATCACTTATTTACTGAGACCGAGGGAAACAGTGTGTTTTGTGGACCCGAGACCGCCGTTGTTGCCCGAGGCGAAGCCGAGGGCGAAGGCAACAACGGCGGTCGAGGGGCCACAAAACATACTGCTTTCCCGAGGTCTCAGTAAATAAATGTTTTGTTATATAGTATATAAGTGTCAAAGTATGAATAATTCACCGGTTATTGGAGTGAACTTAATTTGAAACCAAAACTGGATAAATGAAACGCCGTAAATGTTTAATAAAAAGTTTAAAAAATTAACTTTGGAACTTCATGGTTGACACGCATGCGCATTGCACCCATTTTATTATTGACCGGTTAATAAATGTTTCATTTTGGACCGGTTGTCGAACATGACGTTTTGTGGATCGGCACGTGATACGGTTTTGACCAATCGGCAAACAGAAAAATTGAACTTTGACACTAACTATATAACAATCATTATTTTTCACCCTGCTCGGTTTCTTTTGTTCTTATCGGGGAATATATTCTATATTCCCCTTTAATAATCCCCTCTAATATTCACCTGCAATGTCTTTGCAGCACAAAAAATGAGGAAAAAAAAACCAACATAACGAAGGCAATATGACATTAAGAATTATTTCTATTCTGACTCATTAACGCGACCTCGCAATGTGAAAAATAAGTACGTTATTTTGAGGCACCTCGGGAATATGTGTTTATTCACCTCGGCGCTACGCGCCTCGGTGAATAAATCACATATCCCCTCGTTACCTAAAAATAACCTATACATATTCCCCTCTAATCAATTTCCGTTTAATAATCCCCTCTAATATTCACCTGCAATGTCTTTGTAGCGCAAAAAATGAGAAAAAAATAACATAACGAAGGAAATATGGCATTAAGAATTATTTCTATTCTGACTCATTAACGCGACCTCGCAATGTGAAAAATAAGTACGTTATTTTGAAGCACCTCGGGGAGGCATGTAGTAAAACACTGACTACCGGAACACCGGAACACCACCGGAACACCGGAAGACCACCATTTTGTTTGGGGTTAGGGTTTGGGGTTAGGGTTAGGATTGGGGGTTAGGGTTGGGGTTAGGGTTAGGATTGGGGGTTAGGGTTGGGGTTAGGGTTAGGTGGTGTTCCGGCGGTGTTCCGGCGGTGTTCCGGCGGTGTTCCGGGGGTGTTCCGGCGGTGTTCCGGCGGTGTTCCGGTAGTCAGTGTTTTACTACATGCCCCTCGGGGATATGTGTTTATTCACATATTGTTATCACAAATCCCCTTGTTGCCTCAAAATAACCTATACAGATTTACCAGTCAACTAGCCAATCGGAACGCGCGAAATGATATGCAAAATTGATTTATACTACAGGGTGTATCAAAAAAAAAGAGACCTTTAGAAATCAAGCATATTGTTAAAATTTGAATGCCTTTTCAATTGCACATATGCTGAACCGTAGTGCGTGAAATATTGATGGGGTGCATATGTTAGAAAAAGGAGACTTTAGAAATTGAAATAACGTTTAAACAAAAGAGTGTCTGCTCCTGGGAACAATCTGCCATGCATACTGTACGTACAGGGTGTCTCAAAAAAAACCAAAATCATTGAAATTGACGTATTGTTCGATATTCAATGCCCTAGCACTAAGTTAATCCCACGAGTGCATAAAAGATTGACATAACTGCTATAATGAATGGTAATACTCAGCGTAAACTTGTTATGTCAGGCATAAAGTACTAAACCCACGAATGCATATTAAAACTAGAATCAAATCTTATGCAAGAAATTATGCTAGCCCTTTTAGTGGCTGTTAATCAATATGTACTTATAAGCAAACAAATTTATATTATTTACAGTTTAGATAGTATTTACAGTTTTTCCAAGCGCAATTATTTACACATTAACAATTATTTACAAAATCATCAAGCGCCGTGACCTTCGACGTGTCCCCCTTCTCTTGCAACACAAAGCATTGTTCGCCTGTGCATATCTCGAACTGCCCGTGTAACGAAGGCAGGCTGCTCTCGCAAAGCGTTAAATTCTCGGATGATTTTTTGGCGCAACTCGTCAATATCGCGCGGTGGACTTGAGAATACCTTATCTTTAATATACCCCCACAAAAAGAAGTCGCATGGTGTCAAGTCCGGTGACCTAGATGGCCATTCAACATTATGACCCAGCCCAATGACACGGTTGTTCCCAAACACAGCATTCAGCCGATCTCTGACTGCGATCAGGCGATGTGCAGGCGCGCCGTCTTGAGCCCACCATAGACCCCGAAACATTCCCTCCCAATGCTGATTATTAAAACGTTCAGCTAGTTGCGGGAAGACAAATTCATTGAACATTCGGAGATAGGCGATTCCGTTTACATTCTGTTCGAAAAAGTAAGGCCCAAAAATCATTCCGTTACCACAAAGCGCTGCCCAGACCGTCAGATGCTCACGAGAATGGCTCCTTTCAAAATTAAACGCAGGCGGGTGTCCTTTAGGCGCATACTGTCGTACGTTTTGGGTGTTGACTTCGCCATTCATTACAAATGATGCTTCGTCTCCGATAAGGAAACTATCCAAGAAATTTTCTCGGCGGCAGCGTTCGTTAAGCCAAACGGAAAAGCGTAATCGACGAGCAAAGTCGGCTGGCAACAATTCGTGTCGTACATGCATTCGATATGGGTGCCATTTTATGTCCTGCCTTGTTATGCGGTTAAAGCTTGCACGAGAAATTGGAATAGGGTTGCGACGAGCACTCATGTGAGGGTTTTCCTGCAGTATATCCCTAACAGCGTCAATGTTTTCTGCAGTTCGAGTAGTTCTTCTTCTGCCGGAATTGCCTTTATTGAGGTTTAGACTGTTCCGGAGTTTTCGTATTTCCTTACGTTTTCCAAAATTGTGCTTGCCGCAGGTGGATTGCGATTTGGGAACCTTTCTCGAAAAGCGTTTCGCACTTGTGTCGTACTTTGTGTTCTCGTATAATTTAACACGACAAAAACTCTTTGTTCGGGGTTTAGTTGAACCATTTCTTTCGAAGTGATGACAGGAATAATTTGTAATGTTCTCATTTTTGTTAATCCGTAATTTCTTTTACAATTTACGAAGCATTTTTAAATTCCCATGAGCAAACAAACGTTCACTTTACAAAGATATTTTAATTTTTTAAAACAAATTAATCACCCTGTCAAAATCCTTTGTGTTACGGCATTGAAATTCGAACAATACGTTATTTCAATGATTTTGGGTTTTTTTGAGACACCCTGTAGATCGCATGTTACGCACTCGTGAGTCGTGTGCTTAGGAAAGTGCTCCAGGATTCAAATTATAACAATGGTTTATTTCTAAAGGTCTCCTTTTCCTAATATATGCACTCCATCAATATTTCACGCACCACGGTTCAGCATATGTGCAATTGAAATGGCATTCAAATTTTAACAATATGCTTGATTTCTAAAGGTCTCCTTTTTTTGATACACCCTGTATTTGTTAATTATTTTGCATTTGAGCCCTTTGAAAATATCACAATATTTCTTTCTAAATTTTCGGGGTTTTTGTAATTCTCTCGGCAAATATTCCTGTTATAAATAACTGTTTTATGGCTATTCCAATATTGCCGCAGAGAACAATAAAAATTCGTTGTTTCACACGGGATTCAAACTCATATATTCGGATTTCTCGTGTCAGAACTGATGTAAAATATCCAGTACAAGCAAAGTTAGTTTAATTTATGGAGTCTTTTAATTTCATGCTATTTCTTGTAATTGTCTTAACAATCCACTCGGTTTTATCAATAATACAGCTGGTCGATCAAATTCCTTAATCTCGCCTTGATCTAAAACCATCACCCGATCACAGTGTAATATCGAACTCAAGCGATGGGCAATAGTAATAACTGTACATTCCTTAAAAACTTCATCGATTATCCTTTGAATTTCTTTGTCCGTGTTTCCATCTATTTTTCCGGTCGCTTCATCAAAGATTACGATTTTATTATTTTGTAGTAACACTCGAGCCAAACTCAGCAGCTGCTTTTCACCGACACTAAATTTTGAGTTATCGATGTTCAACTCAGCATCAAGTGCTTTTGGCAGATTTTTAACAGTAGAACTCATTTTAGTTTGGTGTAATGCGTTCCATATTTCAGCGTCTGTGTGTTGGCCCAACGGATCCAGATTTAATCGAATTGTGCCGTTAATTAAGGTAGGTGACTGCGATATGACTGATACAGATTTCCGGATTGAAAGCATATTGAATTCTTTAATGTTTAATCCATCAATCAGAATCTCGCCCCGGGTCTCGGCTAGGCGCATCAACGCAGCAACTAGTGATGATTTTCCAGCACCAGTTCTCCCCACGATTCCGACTTTTTCCGACGAGTGTATCGTGAACGTAAGGTTCTTCAAGGCGTATGGACCACCTGTGTAGTGCCATAGCGAAACATCTTTGAATTCGATCTCGCCCGCGTGTGGCCAATTTTGGGGAGGTGTTTTAGGCAAATCCTGCCCGAGTTCAGTCTGGATTTTTGTGTAGGCTAAAACCCGTTCTGCTGACGTCATTTGTGAGTTGACATCACTTATTACCATGACAACGTAGTAAATCATATGTGTCGTGTTCACCGCATAAAGAATAGTCATTGCGCCCAGTGCTGAAATACAAAGCATATTGAAATCAATTAATATTCTTCGGAGCCACAAAGTTGTGTCTGCATGCGACGGCCACAGAGTTGTGTCCGCGACTGTAGATCAAGCGTAAGGTATTCGGTTACTTGAAGATTGCTGTCTTGCTTGACGTGTTTAAAATCTCGTGCAAGTGGGTAAATGGGAGACGCTATGCGAATTTGTTCGCGGGAAGGGACTTTTGCAGGGCTTTTCGCGTCAGCAAAAGCGATGTCGACAAATTTAAATCGCCCAGGTGGAAAATCGTTTCTATCCTTGCCTTTTGGATCATCTAGAGTACGTGACTCTAGACAAACTATTAGTCTATAAGGTAAACCTTGCCAGATATTATGTAACGTACATACCTGCCGAGATAGAATCATGTATAAAATACATTACAATGATGGTAATAATCGCTGCAATCGCGATGCAGACAATACTGAAAGCATTTGCAAACCAACGAATAGCTGCAACTGTGCAAATCGCTGCTCTGTGGTGTTCGTCTATGTGTCTGAAATGTTGAACATTATAGTTAGTGCTTGTCAATCAGTGTAATATAAATACATGCATGCATAACCTCACTCTTTGCTAGCAAAACAACTATATATTTTCCAAGCATGCATGGCGTATTTGAAGTGGTTGTCATATGGTTACACGATCGTTCTATTCTTTATATGTTTAAAAAATGAAAAAAAATACACTTACATATGTAGTTACAAAAGTTAGCTACATATGTACACGTTAGGTATATATTATTATTCGTAATATAAGCTATATATGTAACATACAGTACGCAACATCATGTATTTTAAAGCAAGCAATGCATCAAGACAAAGTTAAAACCAGAAAATAACTAACAGCAAACCAAGTGCATAATAACCAACCAAAGGCGGCGAAAGATTGATTTTGGGCTTTATTATATTCATTTTGAAATCAATGGTGTTTCCTGCAATCTGATTGGTTCACAGACGTGCGATTTCAGCACGAATCGCACGCATAGCAGTGCGATTCGTGCTGAAATCGAACCTTCTTTCAACCAATCACATTTGAAACAGCCAATCAATTTTGAGAAAAATGTGTGCAAAAACAAAAAATTTACATAATACATATGTCATGATTACCCTTGAGTGCCTAAGCAATTTTGGCATATAAAAACAAAAAGTATGGATAGCTACAGTAAACTATCAAAGAATTGCAAACAATTTTAAATTTTTTGAAATTTCTCGAATAGTAAACAGGCAAAAACGCTAACAAAAGCAAATTTTATAAAGCGTCAGGGAAAACAAAGCTCGAAACAAATTGTCAGAGGTAAATTCGCCTTTCCAATTTTAAACGCACAAAACTGCACCGATACTCTTTCAAATCACTCGTAAAACCTACAATATGTTTAAAACTCACTTGTGTTGTCTCTTATTCTTAATAAATGTCTTCATTTCTTTAACAGTTTAACCATTGTTGAAGCAAAACTATAATATAAACTATTGTTCATCTTGTTCGCTTATTGTTGCTATGCTACACTTACAGCACTTAAGGAGGTGCCGGAGGTGTGTCTTTTGCAAACAAAGACGTTTCCGGTTTACAAAAATATTTAATTAAGATTTCAAAATGAATATAATAAAGTGGAAATTGAACTTCGTGTCGTAATTTTGTAATTACGCATTTGATTTCAGTCCAAATTGCACTCCACTCAGTGCAATTACCATTATAAACAAATTCTGGGGAGGACATGTAGCCCCGGATAATTTTGAAATATAGACTCCGAATTGGTATTACCTGCGTTCCTAGGACGATTTGACATGCACAAACCTCGATCTAACCTCCTATGAATATATTTAACATAAACGAATATGAATATATGAATAATTATGAATAATTGAATTATGAATATGAATAATTATGAATATATTTAACATAAACGTACAGGAGGAAAAAAAATAGTGTGGGAGGCGGCGTTCGTGGAATGTACCGACCTAAAATGTTTCCCCCTTGTCTATTCCCTAAAATTTATGACGAGGCCTCCCACTCCTCCCTCTGTTACGCCTATATAAAAAACCTCAATTTTTCGACGGGCTTAGCCCCTTCTATTTTCTACGTTTTCAAACTTGGATGGGGGATTTTAGCCCCCCCCCCCCCCCCCCCCCCCCCCCCCCCCCCCC